ATATTGGATATTTAGGTATGACTATGTAGTATATTGATTTATTGTAAACAATTGGTAACGTGCTGTTAAAAAGATAAATGTATTTTTTTGGTTAAAGTTAAAAACTTTGAATTCTTTGTATCTCCTTCAGATTTAGATGAACAAAACCATACGGTTTTCTTGACAATAATACAGGAAATAATTTGTCATTTTCTTCTTCCAGGGTGTTTTTTAACGAGCTTACAGACCTGGAATTCTGGAATTTCCTACTAGCATTGATGATGTTACCTAGTTCGGTAATGAAATATATGCAAGAAAACAACCAAGCTCAGAGAGCATCAGGGACTTCCCAGTTCAACTCTGAGCTACAAATATTCTATCATGTTTATATGTTCCACACATTTTTACTTGTTCCTGAGAAGCAACCCATTTTGTGTCAGTAGTCCACCATTTAGTTATCTCTAATTATGATCTCAGAAACCCAAATCTCTTCCTTTGAATCTATTTGTGCAGCCAGGCATTTATTTCTAATATTTTCTTTGAACTCTGTAGATTAGATGGATACATGTAAAAATCTCTTGAGACCCCAAGTACCTGAGCTTTCCTAGATTTTCAAAGTCCATGGTGATAAGTTGTAGCTTTTCCTTACAAGATCAGAATTGTCCATCTATTCTTCTATTGAATAGCTGGAATAGTGAACTACTAGTGGATTTGATACATGTTCCTCACACTATACTTTACAAGGTAACAGTTCTAATAATCACACATTTCTTTTACTATAGTTTCTTGTAATAGCAAATTACAAACCATTATGAGTCTTCTCTTTGTTTTCTGTAGGGTGAAGATTCAGCCACTCTGCATCCTACCATCATCTGTTTTTCTTTCTTGACTCACAATCCGTTTCTTTTATGAAGACTGGAATTTCTTAGTTTCAAAAGTGCAAAATAGCTTTTATGTCTCCTATTTCCAGCCACCACTCTGAAAACTGAGTTTATTTCTTTCCTTGTCTTACTTCTGGGCAGTTGATTCCTTTGACAGGCTCAGCTTTAGTGCTTATTTTGTTTAATCTGATATATCTTCATTCTTTCGAAGTATGGTCAATTATTGCTGCAACCTTCTGACTTTTTCTTCACGCATAACTTCAAATTTATACATACAGTACTGCAAATATGTCAATTTATTTTCATGTAGGAACACAAACATGCTACAAGCATTGCAAGTCAGAAATGATTAATCTTGTCTCTTCATCTTTACTTTTATTTCCTAAGGAAACACATATTTAAAGGCTGTTATTTCTTTTTTTCGTTGTTGTTCTCTTCTCAAGCTCTCAACCTGTCACATGCATATCACTGATAGAAAATATGTTAGGGATTCTCCAAGATATGTTAGGGTCTTCTTCTATCAAACTCTCATTTTCCCAGTTCACTCAATGAACTTGCATCCTGGGATCTAGGTTTCTTTACTCCTACAGTCTCTGCTTACTCAGCAATAACGCATTGATTTCCATGCCGCAGTCAGTAGCTTTCAAGCCATATCTTTTGCAGTAAGAGGTTCTGCTGAGACTGAGAGACAAGGTGCAGTATCTCTTCTAGATACAGATATTCAACAGATTGGAGAGATAGTTTTAGGCTTATAAAGAAACCAGTTCTTATCCTGTCATGCAAAACGACTGAAAGAAAAAAAAATCAAAAGCTTCAAAGAGACCCAGGATTAATGAACTCACTAATAAAGGAGGTTGGAGGATTCATATCTCTGTTCTCGAGATTCTGTACTCTAACTCCTAATTCTTGGTATTAAAACTCATTAAAGAAAATCCATGTGAATCTTGTTTCTTTGATTGTGCTTTTCTTTTAAGGAGCTTGATGCTTGCAATGCACAGCTATAGAAGGATAACCTTTTCATTCTTACAGCTGAACACACAGTCCTTTGGTACATGCAGTTTCTGTAGTCACTATCTTCTCTTGTCTCGTCTAACTGGAACACTTTTGCCAGATTTGTTTGTTTCGCTATTTGTTAACTCAAAATTAGATCTTGGAGGAACCTGAAAGAGGTAGATTTACACCAAAATTAATGCCATCGCTTTCCTTTCTTCCTTGTTCTTATGCCTTTTTATATTTCTTTTTGCGTCTTAAATTTCACTTGTAATTCAATCATTAAATGTTACTGTTTTTCTTTTCGGGCATTTCACTTTCTTGCAATTGAATTTTGTGGTCATTACATTTAAGTGTCTTGAATAAATAAGATAATAATGAAATACATGTATCACGAAGTTTGGGAATAAAGTGACGGGTGGCACCAAAATTTTTCACACAGTTGAGATATGGGAAAAAGACTGGAAATAAATTATTTGCATCGATATGTCCTGATGACAATTTTAAAGAAAACAAAAAAAGTGTTTGGATAAATTGAAGAATTATTTCCTATGTTGTGATTGAGAGGTTATATTGGGGGAGGGGGGCGATGACAACTCCCTCATTGGCTCAAGGGGACGATTCGTTCAAAAAGGTTAAGAACCACTGCTATAGATGATCGACCTCCTTCAGGCTTTTCTTCCTTGACATAGAACATTTGTATAGAGGAGAGCTTAATCTATTTTCTACTGAAAAATATTACTTTCTTACATTAACTCTTTGATTTGACTTCAGCTTGCCTCAGTGGCAGCCTGGCCTTGAAATGGAGGCTCCAGTAGGAGGACAGGTCATTAAGGACTGGTAAGCAGCCCATCTCAAAGCAAGAATCCTTTAATTTATTAAAAAGAGTCATCTTGATGAAACCTGGTGTTTAACATAAAGATAGACAATTTAATGAACATTTTTGAAATAACATTATTGTGGTTATTGTGTAAAGTTCAAAGTATAAAGAATAATCCAGTAATGATGGAGATCTATTGAGGAAAATAAGGAGAAGTTGGCTAGTTCCATTTGTTAGCACCCTAACAACTCCTAAGAAGTATAAAATTAGCATCTTGTATGTGGTCAGTCTGACATTTTGCTGCTGAAAGATTTATCTGACATTTAATTGAACACAATATAGTTGTGTTTGACTGCATGTGAATCCTTGAATTTAGCCAGCTTCACAGTTAATAGAAGGATTACCTGTGATATAATTTCCAGCCTGTAAATCAAGAGATTTATTAACTGAATTACATGAAAAAATATTTTTATAATTTTTCCACCAGAAAATAAACTGTAAATATATCAATAAAGGAGAATGTTTGTAATTGTAAATATCTATTTTTAAACAAGTTATACCAGACTCCATGTCTGGTATAATTATACCAACACTGCTGTTGATAAAATATTAAGCCACAACAAGGTAAAGACACTCTAACACTGTAATATAGGGGACAAATAGTCTACCCTTTCCTTATGGTTCTGGACTGTATATTAGATGTAGCAGATGACTCTGCCATATGACTCTGGGGGGAAAGGGAACTGCTAACAGATTGTCACTTTTTTCTTGGTGTGAAAAGACACATTATAATAAGAGTATAATAAGAGGCAGTTTGGTGTAGTGGCTAAAGGCACTGGGATAGGAACTAGAAGACTATGAGTTTTAGGCATGCCTTGAGCACATTGTTTATGTTAGAAAGGGCTAATATCAGTAAAAGGAGGGGGGCTTGGAGCCTTGTAGGGGTATGGAATTTAGATGCACTAGTCTAATCATAGTAAGGTCATTCCATCAAACCTTACAGTGTGGCTGTAAAGGTCATATTATGATTTATATTGCTTTATTTATCACTCCTATGTAACATTTCTGGGGTATATAATCCATAACCTTGCTTAGTTCAGGGCTTTTTGACATTCTCTTGGCCTGAAGCCCATGGATCACTGTAATTGTGCATGCCAATAAAAGATACTGTGTTGCATCTATCTCAAAATGTTTTGGTTCCGGATTTAAAATGGGCATTTTTCCCATAGCAGAAAGTTGGATCAGATATAATGCTGTTTTAAACCAAAAAATTCTGTTCCTCAGATGAACTCCCGGTGACATTTTGATATATTAGTTTTGTAATTTTATGCCAAGTTTTTTGTTTAAGAAGTATGATTGCCTGATCCTATCCCAGCTTTATGAGCATCCTGAGAACCTCAATTTACATAATTTGTCATTTATTTCAAATTTCCAGGAGAAATAATATTTATCTGACAAGGTAAGATATACCAGACTTTGAGATGAAAAACAGCATTTAGGCCAGTGGTTCTCAACCTGTGGGTCGGGACCCCATTTGGGGTCGAACGACCATTTCACGGGGGTCACCAAACAACACAGTCCGCCATTTTTTCCCCTTTTCCTTAGCTGTGCTACTCCCTTGTATTCTATTGGCTTTTGAAAGCCAATAGAATAGACTCTCTTGAATAGAGTCTAATTCTATTGGCTTTCAAAAGTCAATAGGAATTGTCCAGGCTGTCTCTGCCCTGCTGAGCCCGCCAAAAGTCCCATTCTGCAAACGGTGCTGCATCAGTTGAGTAGTCCTCGACTTACGACCGGTTGAGTAGTCCTCGACTTACGACCGGTTGGGGGTCGCAGCATTAAAAAGGTTGAGAACCACTGATTTAGGCAATATCTGAATACATACAACCATGCCCTTCTTTTGATTGCTATAAGCCCTGCCTCCAAACATAGAGCAGAGTTAAGTACATATTTTGCTATTTGGAATTCTTAGGAAACTAATTTGAGCTGTCTCGTTTCTCATAGTTGACACCTGGATTTAATTGTACTCCTTCGAGAACCTGTGCCAATGTCTTGGCTTCAAAAGCTTCACAGCAGCTGGTACATACTGGGCTCTTCTAGTGAAAAAAAAAAGGATTGCCAGGAAACCCATCTGAGTATTCAGAGCAATCTGGACAATATGAATATGGTGCTTCCCCAAAGAAGATAGCATGAAGCCCAAGTACTTAAAATGAAGTATTATATTATTATTATATTATCTTTGACATTCCATCAGAATTTTACAAAATGCATAATATTTGTTTTCTCATAGTTAATCTGTAATGAGTATTCTTAAAAAAATGGACTACTGTTCCCATGGCTCTTCTAAGACCTACCAGTATCTGCAATAGTATAACAGCATTGTCTTTGTAAAGTGGTCTAATAATTCTGTTTAGACTGGTTTAGGAAATGCCTTGAGACATCTATTGTTTAACCCCTTTACTAGTTGCATTGAATTTTAGAGATGTTCAGCCACAGTTCATGTTATATTCAAGCTTATATTCTTATGAAGTTCATTTAATAGGCTAAACAACTGTTTATAAATTGTAGATGCTTCAAGTTTTTCTAGAGATGGAGTCCAATGCCTGTTTTGATCTACAAACAAGGGAAAAAGGGCTGACTTAGGTGAATGAGTACATTTTTCTTGAGTATATCTATTCTTGAGCTATCACCAAGCAATCTCCCTGAAACCTTACCTGTATTTCTCCTAGGTCCAGGAGGTTCTCTTCCAGCAAGTCTCAGAGTTTCTTATAAATATGGTTATCTAGCACAGATCTTATTCATTAGGCTAAAGATGCTCAAATGGCTGGATGATCTTTCATTGTCTTCTTTTAGTTAGGGATAATTAGGACTATTCCCCTGTTCTGTTAAACGTGCTTTGTGTTACAGTTTTAAATCCTGCCTCTGTAATAGTGTATGCAAATAACATCATATTTGAAGATAAATATATTGGGTTGTGATTTTTCTTTCCTCAAATATCTTATGTTCTTAGCCATTATTAGCATATTTTAAGTAATAAAGCAACTCTGAAATGTCATGCATTACAAGCAATTAAGAGAAATAATTGGAAGCAATCCGATTTTAACAATAAACAGGAAGGTTGTAAAAGTATATATATTTAGAGCACAGCCCTCCAACAACTACTTATGGATTTTAACTTTTAATTTCCTAGGAGTAAATTAGAATTAATATATAAAAAGTATAGTAATCATATTAACTGTTTTATTTAATTTAAATGAAATATAAGCTTGTAGACTAGCGTCATTAAGTTTTTTTAAATTGGCCTTATTTTTTGGAGTGCACTCTCCAAGATATCATTCATATGACAATTCTGGCCCTTCACTCAAGAAAAATACACAATCCTGAAATGTACTTTCATATTTGTAGAATGGATGTTATATGCCCTGGTGTTTAACTGGTCAATTTTTCCCTCTAATTCTTCATACTTCCCAAATACAATCTTTTAAAAATAATTGTCCTCCTAAAACTGTTCAGAAGGCTCATCTTCGTGGTGACCAATTACAAAAAAGGGGGGCATAAAGGGAAAAAATATGGAAGGCAGAGATAGTAGTTTCTAAGGTGTACTTTTTTAAAAAAAATCAGCAGGGTTGAAACAAAAGGACATTCATTTAAATGTATAGACGTGTCTTAAAATCTCAACTAATTTTATAGTAAGATGAAAAACTGGAGTGGTCTTCGATTACACTTCATTTTTTCGAACCGCAGCCAGTGTTACCCTTCCTCGCCACTCCCGTAACAACGTTAGTCGTCGCAATAGCACATCATCCATCCTTCGTTGAATCATTTTTGTTTACTTTCCGGAGTAATCCTCCTGTCAGAGAAACGCTGCCGACTCCCATTAGAGACTCTGCCGGCGCCACTTCCTTCCAGCCTTCTCCCTTCCTCTCCATCAGCCCGATTCCTAAGGTTAAGTCTGCGGGAGGTAGAGTGAGCGCGCGCAGCTCGCTATACTCAGCAGCTCTTCTCCATCAGTGCGCGCGACGACGTCTGTAGTGAAGCGCGCGCATTCGCGCGCGACACCGCAGTAGAGCGCGAGGTGAGCTGCTTGTTGGTGCCACCGCCGCTATTTGGGAGGGCTGGATAGCTCAGGCAGGGCAGCAGAATCCCCATTGCGTCAGGATCGAGGGCAAGGGCACGCCAATGGGAGGGAAATAGAGGAGGGGGGCGCAGTAGGCCGGCCAGCCATTCAGAAGCGGAGAACTCTTGTCTCCTCAGCAACCGGCCTAGATAGCCAAGGCTGCGCCTCCCACATCACGCCCTGCTGTGGTCTTCGATGCCTTCTTCATTCTTAACCTGCTTCAGCCTGGCGGAGGAGCTGAGTTCTCCATTCCTCTTCTCTGAGCTAACATATCTGTGGAAGGCTCCCGTAGCTTCTTTTCTCTTCCACACTCCACCCAGAAACTGTCTAGCGAGGGGTGCTTTCCCCCCCCCTCTTCCTCCGCTTTCCGCTAGTCGGTGAAGGCTGTGGGAAATAACCTTATTGCTCAGTTCGCTTGAATGGAGAGCCGGGAAGATTGTTTTTCTGGCGAGGGTTGCTGAATGGGGAGACGGGGGTAAACGCGCAGCATTTCTGGAAGGGTTGTCGGGTGGGCAATAAGATTCGCTGATGATTCCCGACCATGGGCAAGGACCAGGAACTGCTAGAAGCGGCTCGCACTGGGAATGTGGCTTTGGTGGAGAAACTCTTGGCTGGCAGAAAAGGAGGGCTCCTGGGCAGTGGATCTGGACCTATTCCTTTATCCAACTTGCTGAGGTAGGGATACGTTTCCCACCAGGTCTGGGATAGTAACCTTCTCATTATCATCATCATCTTCTTCATCATCATCTTTATCTTCCTCTTCATTCTGGTATCTATTATGACTAGTAACCAAAAAACCGGTTTATCTTCTGAGCATGTTCAGGTGTGGAAAGAGGTTTGTGTCATTACCTATGATGACATTAAGGCAGTAGTCTTTGGGTTTCTTTCTGCCAATGCGTCAGAAAGTATTTGATTGGGTGGGTTTCTTTTACCAATACAGAACTTTGGCATGTATTGGGCACTCTTATGTACACACTGGTATTATTTCTTTCATTTTTAAAAGAAATCTCTATGACCATCCATCCCCCCCCAAATTACCCAATCTCCCTACTCATGTAGGACTGCCAGATCAGGGCTGCAAAACTCTGGTTGACTTCTACATGTCAGAAAAGATATAAAGGTTTTCTGTATCCCCTTTCTGCCACCTAGAGGTCATCCAGATTTTTGCAGTCCTGCTATGTAGACTTACTATTCGTAACTGTAGCAAATTCTGTGCTGATGGCTTTTCCAGGATAAATCAGGTATATGATGTGGTAATGTGGCATATTGTGAAACCATTTGAACTCCAACTGAGAGGCTGTCTCTAAAAATTGGTGTACATTGTGTGCAGCAGGTGATCAAGGTTTCTAGAACTATGCAGAACTGGATTAGTAAGCATTTTTAGAAGGAGGCAACAAACTTTTAATTCAGAAAGTGTGTAACATGTAGAGTTATGTTAATATGAGACATTAATGATATAAGGCTAAGTATACCGTGGGTAAAGTGTTTTTCATAGCTGTTTAACTAGTCAAAAGAATTCAGCATACTTAAAAAAAATAGAATTACACTAACATCATGGCATATTAACCTAAAATTTTAACTAATAATTCAAGTGCATCATCAGAACAAATAAAAATATTTTGAAGTAATGAAAATTGTTTCAGTAATAGGTAAAAAGAGCATTTAATTTTCAAGGATTCTTCACATTTTGTCAACCTGCATTTATCTCTACAAATACAATGTTTAAAATGGTTTTTAATTGTTTCATTTTTAATTATAATCAGTAGTAGTTTAGTTAGCTATGCAATTTTTCAGAGTGGTAATAGCAGAATTTTTCTTAGCATACATGTAGCATGTTATATAGTAACTTTAATACAATATATAACCTAAGTAAAAAGAGTAATATAATGTGAGCAATTTAAATACATTTTGAATTTATTTGTAGCATTTGTGTACACATCTACATTTTTTATATGTAATGTTCATCATTTCATAGTAACTCATCTATCTTTACTGTAATTATTATTTGGGTAAGATTTGCTTGAATATTAACAGTAGATTGGTAGCTGTACAAATCTTTTTGAAGGAATATATTTATTACAAACTTTGTGTAACTTTATAAAAAAGTGATGATTAATAAATTTAGAAAAATACATTACTTTCTATAGACATTTTTAATTAAACCCACAAAAATGTTTTGTTAAATTAAACAATTATATGTTCTCTCCTTTGGCATTTAAAAACAAAGTACAGCATAAACTGCAGAAATTTATATTTTTAAAAATATGTATATTCATTTTAGAAAAACTGTTTCTAATTTCTAAGTATTCAGATAATAGTATAGCAAATATATATTCCAAGATCAACCTGTTAGGTGGTTAATCATTTTTCCTATGCATTACTTATAAGTTAATTAGAATATGTATTGATATAAAATGTGAATTATATTACACATTAATTTAAATAAATATTAATGGTTTTAACTTTCCTTGGTAATATCATTATTTTATCTTTCCGAAAGTGAAGGTAAAGAAATTTTGCAATGCACTTGGGGAGGAAATCCCGGAGTTTGGTGTGGTAGGAGTTGGTACATTCTAACGATTCTCTGCCCAACTGCCTTGCTATGACTGAAGAAGTTGCCTGGATAGGCAGTGAAACGTCTCTCAAACTAACAACAAAAAATTAGTCCAGTTGCAATGATTCAACCTTCAGACAACTTCAGACAACCTTCAGATTTCAGCTGTGTATTTGAGTATTGACATCCATGGAAAAAATCAAGAGGGAATATAATATATTTCCTGTAATACTGAATTCAGGTTATGCTGTAAATACAAAATTAATAAAGCCAGTTATTTGGAACATAAAATACCTTACATTATTGAACATCTAAAAAAAAAAGTTAAACATTTAACCAAGAGGTTTTGATTTTGGAAACCTATGAAACATTAGGAGTTTTTGATCTATGGAATACAGATTAAATCACTGGAAGGATGGGACATAAAATTAAAAGCTGATCAAATTCGCTTCCTCAGATCACTAGCAGCTGATAGTATAAATCCTGGAAGTGGGAATGATAATAATACTACAAGGTTAAAAAAAAAACCCTTTCTGAAGGTTACTGAAGTTTTAGCAGGGTTTATTAAAGGGGGGGGGGTGGTATTCTTTTTTTCCCTTTCTCAAGAGTCTCAGTAGTTTTTGCTATAATCAGTTCTAAAACAGAATTCTTAACTGTTATTTAGTATACTACAGGTAGACTTCAGTGAATTGAAGTTTCCTACCTTTGCATGGGAAAAAAGTAGAGGTTTCTGCCTCTCATGGCTTTAGCAAAAATTATGTTTGTACAAGAAAAATGCTCATTTATTCCAAGTATTATTTTTCTTTTCAACGAAATAAAATTACACAATGCCCTGTTCATGGAAATATCTGATGTGATAAATATTACACGTGAAAGTGTATAGCTAACTATATGTCTCCTGTATTTTTTTTAATATTTTTTTTATTTTCCATTTATTCATACAAAATACAATTCACAAGATAAAATAAATTCATAACCATTGGTACCGCCTGCCCATTCCCCCCAGGCCGCGTCCACCCTCTCTTGAAAACTTTAAGAAATCTCTTTTTGTAAATTCAATATAAGAAAGTTATCCAGGTTACCTTTTTTGGTTTCTTGATATCAGCTGGTTTTATTTGTATATCCAGTCTAGCATATCAGTTTCAATCCTATCCAGTAAAACATGCTCCTTCTCCATATCATTAATGGCAGGTGTTGTGTCCTGAGCCTGCAAAAGCAGGCTTGGGACGTTGCTATGGTCCTGGGCTGTTGCAAGCTGCCCAGGACCAGACTAAGTGGCGCCAGCCTGCACGCATGCGCAAGGCACGAAAGCGCACCATCTCATGTAACCTTTTTGCCCGGGGATTCTATTTAGTGTGAGAGAGGCCTGCGAGCCTCAGAGTTGTGTTGGAGTGAGCAGAAGAAGAATAAAGCAGTTGTTGGCTTCCGAATGTGTGCTCTTCTTTCACCATTAACTCGAGGACTTAACACTGGCGACGAAGGTGGGATGGATTGCAAGCTGAAAGAAGAAGGCTTGTAAGACTTACCCAAGGAGTCCTTGAGAAAAGGGAGACGGTGTTAAATTTAGCATCTGGCCTGCCAGTACAGCGTCGCTGGAGGTAAGCTGACTGATAGACCCCTTCCTAAAAGTAGAAGTAAGGATGGCGAAGATAGGGTGGTTGTCCGAATTCGACGTTGCTCACCCAGAAAGATGGGAGTCTTATGTCGCTAGAGTAGAAAATTACTTTAGAGTGAATCAAGTTAGAGAAGATGGCTTGAAGGCTGCAACTTTGCTGTGTGTCTGTGATCAAGATGCATTTGAAATTGCGGAAAATTTGGCAGCCCCTGCTCCTCTAGAGTCTGTCACATATACAGACTTAAAGAAGTTATTAAAGGAACATTTTCAGCCTAAGCTGTCTGTCATTGCATGGAGACATACGTTTGAACAGAGGGATCAGAGAGCAGGTGAATCATCCAAAGAATTCATTGCAGCCTTGAGAAGAGCAGCCAAGCCCTGCGAATTTAAAGACTTAGAAGAAAGGCTGAGAGACCATTTTGTATGCGGTTTAAGGAACAGAGACTTGCAACAGAGACTCTTTGCAAAGGAAGATATCTCATTCCAAGATGCCTTGAGAGAGGTCACAGCTGAGGAGGCAGCAGGCGGGGCAGTCAAGAACATGCGGCCCATCAAGAACAATCCAGAAGCAGTTTCCGTGCACCATGAGGGAGTCCAAGAAGGCTCGGAGGAGGATCCTGAAGATGAAGTGGATCATCTTTACCTGTTCAAGGAAAGGAAACAGAAGGAAAGCAAAGAAAAAACTCTAGCTGCGTCCAAATGCTTCGGTTGTGGAGGTTGCCACAAGAGGGCCGACTGCAGGTTCCGTTCTGCAATCTGCAGAGCGTGTGGCAGGCAAGGCCACATAGCATCCGTTTGTCTGGGTCGCCAGAAGGCACAACCTCGAGAAGAATTGCATCTGAAAGATACCAGGGTCCCCAGCCAAAACAGGGTGGGTTTCTGTGCATCATGCAGAAGTATTTGCAGAACAGGCACACACAAACCACTTAAAAAGAAGCTGTCACTTAAGGTGAGGTTACAAGGAGTTCCCTTGATTATGGAGCTGGACACTGGGTCTGCTCTTTCAATCATTTCCATTCATACATTTAGGAAGATTTGCAACAGCAGTGGGTTCCAGGCCAAACTTAGGCCATCCAATATAATCTTAATAGACTTTCAAAATTCCAAGGTGTGTGTAAAGGGGAAGGCCACCCTTACAGTACAGCACAAGGATTTTGAAGGTCCATTGGATATATTGGTTGTTGGGGATGAACGAACGAGCCTTATAGGGCTCGATTGGTTTGAGGCCTTGGGAATCCAGGTTACAGGATTGCACAATTTGCAAACGTTGAGCCTAGTAGAAGTCTGCAAAGAGTTTGCAGATGTATTTAGTCCACAGCTGGGGTCTTACAAAGGACCTCCAGTTTCCTTGAAGCTTGACCCTACCATCACACCCATTAGGGTTAAAGCAAGGAGAGTACCTTTTGCACTTAAAGGGAAAATTGATGCTGAACTGGATAAATTGATCCAGCAAGGTATTTTGGAACCTGTAGATTCAAGTCCATGGGAAACCCCCATAGTTACGCT